AAAATGTAGTGAGTTTCTCTACCCACATTCCTTTGGGCAATAAAACCAGTGATATCAGCATTGGTTGCCATGGAATCAGAGGCCTATTCTGCCTTCCTTAGGCGTTAAGACGCATTTTGGGGGAAGGGTCCACAGGCCCTCATATGGCTTGTTAACTGAGGGGTGTTACGGAGTATTTGTTAAATATAACTAACAAAAACTATATTGTGTGTCTGATTGGTCCAGACGCTACACATTTTTAAGTAAAATAGGATAACGAATAAGATTTTTTTAAAACTTATTTATTCCATGAAAGATGGTTCCAGGTGCTTGAAGGATTTAAAGAGATAGTTCGCTCTTAAATGAAATTTGTTATAATTTATGAGTATCATGTTGTTCCAAACCCATAAAGCTTTTTGTTTATTTTTGTCACGAATTAAGATATTTTTAATATTCTCTCATCATTTTCCATCCAATGAAAGTCTGTGCAATCAGCATTTTCATGCACATAAAGGTATTATAAAAGTAATCCATGTGAATCATGCTGTTTAATCCAAGTCTTCTGAAAAGATACAATCACTGTATATGATGAACAGACTTTAATTCAGGTGTTTATTCAGTGCACATCAAATATGGTTAATGTTTAAGCTCAAACATGTGAGGTGCAAGAACAAATCTTAATAGATTCTTGCATAGTGAAAAATAAATTGTATTACTTGTCTTAAAGCTTAAAAAAGCCATTTTGCTTTAGAGATGCCTATGTTTGATGTTTTAGGGCTTGGAGCAGTCGGAGCTGGCATGGTCGAGGGAAAGGCTGCTTCAGGGGCTTTCAGGACCTCATGATCTCCGACAGCATCATGAGCTTTGTTGAATTTGTGGAGCTCTTCAAGTCTTTTAGGTAGAACACTCCTTTCCTTCCAAAAAATACTTCTGTTTTGAATTTGGATGACACTTGAAAATTTCCCGTTGTGTGCCCAGCATTCGCAGTCGCAAGGATCTGAAGGAACTGTTCGACACTTATGCCGTGCCTTGTAGTCGCTCGGGTCCTGACTCTGTCCCACTCTACACCACACTGAGGATTGATGACAAACTCACAGGATTGCAGCCAGATCTTGGTAGGCATGTGTGAATAATAAGAATGTTAAAAAAATTTTAACCGATAAGAAGTAGGATGGTTTTACAAAGCTGATCTCTTCACAGATCTCCTGACTCGCAACGGTTCTGACCTGGGCCTTTTTATCCGCACACGTCAGCAAATGTCTGACAACCAGAAGCAGATTTCAGACGCCATCGCAGCTGCTAGCATCGTGACCAATGGCACTGGAGTGGAGAATTCATCCCTGGGTGTGCTGGGACTGGCCATCTCTCAGCTCAATGACTTCCTGGTCAACTGTCAGGGAGAACATCTGAGCTATGATGAGATCCTCAGCATCATACAGGTGTGTGGAAGAATTCTCTGAAAGCTGATCTCAGCCAGAAAGTTTTATAGAATGTATTGATGAGACCTATAAATGCTACTTTGAATTTGACAAAGGTCATTCCTATTATGAAGCAGATTGATATGCTTGTGTTTGTGATTTGTGCCTTTGGATAATGAAACTGTTGTTTTCTGTAAAGCTGCTTTATAGCTGAATCAAATTTGTTTCATAAATGAAGAATTTTTACGACACAAACTGAATGAACACAGAACTGACTTGAGCAGAGTAATACTATTATCTTTTTAGAGCTGCTTTGCAGCAGATTTTGAATGTCTCATTTAAAGTTTGCACCATTGATTCTGCTATATTGCTGTTTATTTTTAACTTCCTGAATGTCATATAAGGACCTGCATTTTGTTATTTTAAAAAATATATTACAGAAGACTACAGTAAAAACATATAAGATTATATTTATGTCATTATGAACTGTATATCCACTAAACTTGGCACCATCAATCAATCGATCTTGTCTGTCTAACATTCAAACTCAAGTTGTTCTAAACCTTGAAAAAACATTTTCAAGCCAACATTCAAACTTTGTCTTGACCGACATTCCTACTTATGTTATTTATGTGAAGTCTTGTTGTCGGAAAAGAAAATTGCTTCAAATTTCTGTCAAAGTGCTTGGCACAGTTTTAAAGCTCTCAACGGTGGGTCATCATTTATCGTTAACAACATGCACAATTGATTCTTCCTTTATTGAGAATAAGAGTCGTTGACTGACAGTTCGATATTAACGTCTCACCATCTCATAACTCACTTTGAGACATCTAATGATATGCATGCCAATGTAATACTATTTAATTTGTTTTTTTGTTTCTTTAGAAATTTGAGCCTTCTTCAAACATGCGTCAGATGGGGTGGATGTCCTTTGAAGGATTTGCCAGGTTTGGTTTTATTAAACGTTTCTGACAAAATAATGTGGACCAGCAATTTCGGAAATGCAATACTTTGGCAGATTTGGATAATCTGCTGTATTCATATAATCTCTGCTACATGACCGAAAGTTTCATCTACCTCTCGAAGGTTTCTTATGGACAAGGACAACTTTGCCTCTAAAAGTGAGGAGTCTCAAGTGAATCTGGATGAGCTCCAGTTTCCGCTCTCGTACTATTACATCGAGTCCTCTCATAACACATACCTCACGGGCCATCAGCTGAAGGGAGAGTCTTCAGTGGAGCTCTACAGCCAGGTACATCTTCAGCAGAGCTTCTCTGTTTATCCTGAACCTGATCCAGGGCAAAAAATGTTTCACAATGCACTCCATAAATATGCTTGACGATCGCTGCTTCACATGCCGTCCTGTAGAAGTCACCTGCAGGTGAATGTAGCTGAAACCACAGCACGTGAATGATGCCTGGAGTTCACGTTTGATTTATTGGTTCTGCCGCAGGTGTTGCTGCAGGGCTGTCGTAGCGTTGAGTTGGACTGTTGGGACGGGGACGACGGCATGCCTGTTATATACCATGGACACACTCTTACTACTAAGATTCCCTTCAAGGTCTGTTTAGAAATCCGTACATGAAGTGACTTCTGTTGATTTTATGTATGTTTCCCATTGACTGAAATGCGCTTGTGGTCTGTAGGATGTTGTCGAAGCCATTAATCGCTCAGCGTTTGTGAACTCAGAGATGCCCGTGATTCTGTCCATCGAAAACCACTGCTCTTTACCACAGCAACGCAAGATGGCTGAGCTTTTTAAGGTACCTGCCTGACTTTTTTTTTTTTTTTTGCTAAATCACAATTCATGAGATGTTCTCGACCTGCTTTTTTGGAAGTTTCTTGTGGAAAGTGAACATTGTTTATGTATTTTGCTCTTCAGACAGTGTTTGGTGAGAAGCTGGTGACCAAGTTCCTGTTTGAGAGGGATTTTGGGGATGAGCCTTTGCTTCCGTCTCCCCTGCAGCTCCGAGGGAAGATCTTACTGAAAAATAAAAAGCTGAAAGCTCACCAGGCTCCAGTGGACATTCTCAAACAAAAGGTAGATGAGAGAAACAAATACCTAGATGTATGGGAACAATGCAGAACTGATTTCAAGACTATTGATTGGTTTATATACACAGTTTATCGAATTGTAGCAGCCACACAATCAGGCAAATTCGGCTAACTCATTTTTTCTTTTTTGCCTAAATGTCTTTGCCTAAATAAATCTGGGGATTTTTTCATAACTTTTTTTCTTCCTACACCTACGAAAAGGCCTGTGCCTGAGACACTGATATATCTGCTACACAAAACAAATACAATATACATAGTTTTAAATTTAGAGATCATTATATCGCTAAATCAACCAGCCCTAAAATTGCTCAAATTGTTAAAACAAACAAAAAATTTAAGCATTATAGACATATACATTTGACTTTGACTACTCATTTTAAAATGTCCTTAACTGAGCTGGAAGTACTGCATTCATATTGGAAAGCACAATCAAATTAACCAGAGTATTTAAGAAACAAACATGCAAGTGGGTAGGGAATTTGTGGAATTGTGTGAATGACAGACTTTCCAGTTCTGTGGAAATCTGCACAGCTTCAGTGTGGTCTTGACTAACTGTTCAACATTTTTTGTATCAACACATTTTATTGAGTCCATGAAACTTCCATTTAACAAATCAAGAATGAATAGTTGAAAAGTTTAGGAACTTTTTTTATTAACTTTTCTTTATTCAAAGGCACATCAGCTGGCTCACATGCAGGCCCAGGCCAACAACGGCTCAGTCAGCGGAACATCCCTGGGAAACAATGACGAAGAAGAAGAGGAGGAAGACGAGTATGACTATGATTATGAGTCACTGTCTGATGGTAAACTTACTTTGCGTTACTCAAGCCAGCATGTCCTTTATTTAAACTCGAATCGACAGCGATTATTGGAACATTGAGTGGAATTTTCTGTTCTGTTCACTAACCCTCTCACGATCTTTTACTGTTCTCACGATGGCACCTTGTAGCATGTTGACCTTTTTCCACTCCCCCTCCTTTCTTTCATTCTCTTCCCTCTTGTTTTTTCTCCTTTTTCTCAGCTGATGTCCTCAATGCTTCCACAGCCTCTTATGGCCAGGAAGGTAAACGTATTGTGTGCGAGTGTATGTGGGTAGTTGACACATGCACATGGTTTAAACATTTGTTTTTTTTACTTTTGGTTTAAAAACTATGCATTTGCATTAGGCTTTTTTTCTCAGTTTTGTAAGATAATTAAATACATGACCAGTCATTAGTGAAAATTGGGAGTTAGATAATGCATGTTTACTGACGCACTGGTCAATTGTTCGATTGTGGCCAAATTTTTATTCTTTGCTGTCCAGACAAATTATGAAAATTCATGTAAAAAATTACTGGGCTAGTAGACTTAGATGTCATGTCAACTGCCCATGTTAAATGCATGTCGTGATGTCGTGTGTCTGCTATATGCTGCTGGTGTGTTGACTCTGATGTGATTGCTTGGACTCAAAGCAGAGAAAATCAAAGCAGAATAAAGGTGCTTATGTCTGAGAGCCACCAGGTGTGTGCTGTCTGCTTCTGCCACGAATAAATCAGTGTTTTTTGAGTACAGCGATGGGTGGTACAGTCGGCGTATAAACAGAACCACCCAAACTTGCTTCAACATTTGCGTCCACGTCCTTGGTGTTTTGAAAATGGCTCGACCTTGCTTGCGGCACTGGCTCATCGGTGGGGGAAAAACAAAGCCATCTGGTTTCTCAGGCCCTGCACTGCTCTCTGTTAAAAGAGACTTTGTTCTTTCCCATACGGCTTTCCCCAGAGACTCAGCTATGAGTTTGTGTAGTCAGGGGAATGCCGGGCATTCACTCAACCTGCTTTCTTAAGCCGGGTATGCATTTGCCATGATTTTACCATCTGAGACAAATTTCAAGGTAAAATGGAAATCTTTGATTGTTTCGTGTGACATCAGCGGATTACCAATTAATAGCCTTTTTGCTAAATCTCCAGTGATGTCCTGACAGTGTCTGTGGGTTGCACACCTAGAATATGACCGCTTCTGTGATCACAATCTAATAAAGGCCCACTAGATGTGGTTACTTTTTGAGGATGTCAGCACATTGCTCAAGATTGACAAAACTGACTGGGCTTTTTACATCAAAGTCTTAAAGTTACCATGAAATCATAATTGACCGTTCTTATTTAAATTTGTATGGCATATTGTAGTATTTATAATTTGTTTATCTATGCACATCATTTTTAAAATTCATGTGCCCATGCAATGTTTAATCAAAAACATTAACATCCTCTACCCCTCACGATGACATCTCTTCTCATCCAACATGAAGATGGAACAATAATTCCTAACCTGTCACTCACGTGATCAACCGAGCCAATCAATTTTCGATGGATAAAATCAAGTACAGCCCTACATCACCAGCATATACATCACAATAGAGTGGAAAAACTTCCACAATTTCCATTTACTTCCAGATTCTGAAGGGATAGTTCACCTGCAAGCTCTGTCATCATTTACATTTACTGCATGTAGTTCCAAAACTATGTGACTGGCTTTTCTTCTGTTGAACATATTTTGATGAATGTCTCAGTGTTTTTTCTTTGTCCATACAATGATACAAAGTCAATGGTCACCAATACTGTTTGGTTACCAACATTCATCAAAATATCTTATCTTGTGCTCTAAAAAATAAAGAAGGTAGTATAGGTTTGACATAAGGGCAAGTAAATGATGACCGATGTTTTGGATGAACTATCCCTTTAAGAAGTAAATGCATAGTGTCAGACTACACTATTGATATCACACAGTCTTTCTTGGCTTCTTCTCTCAAATATGACTGCTTCACCTTTATGTGCTTTGCGAAATGTTTTATTTTGTGTTAAGATGGAATTTTTTTTTGTAAATCACATGATGTGTTTTGGCTGAAGAAATTTCTCTTTGGGTCTTTGTAGAGAAGTTTCTTTGTGTTTTTTGTTTCTGCAGACAATATTCTGGACGACAAACCCGAAGGCAAGTCATCCACTGAGAAACTTCAGTATGAGTCCAATGATGAGATGCCCAAGCGGTTTAAGAAAGCGGGAAGCAAAGGAAAGGTCTGTACAGAACTGTAATGATGAACATTTGAGTTCCTTTCTACCTGAATACATAGGCTACTTGATCTGTGATGTTTGTACTTCTGCGCCCTTGCAGATGTTTGACATGGAGCTCGGAGAGGAGTTCTACCTGCCCCAGAATGAGAAGGAGAGCAGACAGATCGCTCAAGAGCTCTCTGATCTGGTCATCTACTGTCAGGCTATCAAATTCCCAGGTTTACATCTTATTTTATTATTATACAAGCACAATGACAAAAGTTTGTAGTTCACTCTGCCTCTGGGACACACAATTAGTGATGTACTGAAATATTTGGCCGAAAATTAATTTTTGATTTTGGCTAAATAATTTCAATTTATTTAGTGCACACAATATGCTGTTTTCAGTTGATGCATGACTTTACCAAACTTCACTAAGCAGTATTTATAGCTTGTTTCCCATCCAATAATCACAATAACATACTCTGCAGGAACATCAGAAGGTACAGCATGTTGAAAGAAACAACACAACTTGCTGAAATCCTGTCTCATTAATAACTGTAAAGATGTAAATAAAAGAGCTTGTAAATATACATAATATTGCATTTATCTGGAAAGCCATTCAATGCCCATAGCAAGCTTTTATTACAGACATCAATTGCAGTAGAATCACAATTATATTCATAAAACAGTTAATATAAAAATGGCATAATGTTCAATTTAATTTAATTTAATTTTAAGTCAGTTTTTGAGTGTTGATTATTGAATATGATTGACTAATTAATGATTTTTTTAAATATATATTTTCATTTTTGGAGAAAAATTAATTTCAGTGCATCACTACATGCACGATTTTTGTGTGGCTTTCTTAAAACATGATTTGTGCATGCAATTCACAACTGACTGACAAAGACCCAATGTGTTGTCTAGCGAAAGTACAGTAGATGCAACCTCTCAATGGACGACTGCACTGTGTTGAGAAAACTACTTTACAAATGTAGCCTCACAGGCTACAAGTATCAACACATTTCAACTACAGTTTAAATTTATAATAAGCAACACTTTCATCTATTGCATGTTTGTGCTACAAGGCTGATGTAAACTGCTGTAGAATTTGCTGAATTCGATAAAAAGAGTGGGCAAATTAGATTCAGGTGTTTGGCTCTACTGGAAACTGTAATAGTCCCAGAGGCGATCCTTGAACAAACATACAGTATCAAGCTCTTGAGTTCTGGAGGAGCATATACCCTGCAGCCGTGACCTTACATATGTGTTTGTTTGTGTTTGTGTGCGTGGGAACTAGGCCTCTCCACCCTCTCCCCATCAGGCTCTGGAAGGGGAAAAGACAGAAAAAGCCGGAAATCCATCTTTGGCAGCGCTCCTGCTCGCGGAAGCCCTGGGGAGCCTGTGACGTTGGTCCGAGCTCCAGGGAAAGGTACGGCCGCCTCGGTTTTGCACGGAACTATGCACAGGGCACGCAGGAAATAGAACACCCACTTAGAGCACCCATGGGAAAAGGGCTCTCAAGTTTTCCATTATACTGAAGTTCCTTCGAAAGCATATAAAAATGCCATTCTGCTGAATATTTCCAGTGACTGACTGTATGAGAAAACAAGCATGTGCTTTTTGAAGAGAAGCACTTTTAGAGGGCAAGTGCTTCATTGAATTGAATCTTAAATGGATAAATTCCTGCCATCTTAACAGAAGTGCATCTATTTTTTTAACCCGTTTATTTTTATTAAAGGGACAGTTCACCCTAAATTAAAAATCATATCAGAATTTACTCATCCTTATGATGTTCCAAATCTGTATGACTGACTTTTTTCTGTACAACTCGAAAGAAGAAAGTTTGAAAAATGCGCTAGTTCTTCTTTTCCATGCATTTGCAATCAATGGAAAATTATAAGCTTGAATCCTATAGGTTATGTTTATGATTATGTTGCAGCTTGAAAGCCTCAGTCCCAAGGGGTGTCAAAAGACCCTTTTTTCTTTGGCACAAAATACCGCTGTGTGGTAAAATCTTACAGATAAATCCTTACCTGACAGTAAAGAATACCATATACCAATCTGAGAACCATTTTTCCTGATAGTTTTTCACCAATCATCTCTGTTGTGTTTTCCAGTAGCTGTTTAGAATCAGAACTAGCGATGCCAGATTAATGAATGAATCACTGTTTTGATCAAATCAGTCAGGCGGGTTGGACGGTTTACTCACATGCTGAAAAAATTTTTTTAAATGAGAAGAATTGGATGAGGTGGATATTTGCCTACAATTGCTGTAAGAAACAAAACTTGCTAATGCCTTCTATGGTTAGTGATGAAGCAGCTCTTTATTGGACATATAGCGCAGGGGTGGCGAACATCGGTCCTGGAGAGCCGCAGCCCTGCAGAGTTTTGCTTCCACCCTAATCAAACACACCTGAACAAGCTAATCAAGGTCTGAAGGGTTATTAGGAAGCTACAGGCAGGTGAGTTTTAATTAGGGTTGGAGCTGAACTCTGCAGGGCTGCGGCTCTCCAGGACTGGAGTTCGCCACCCCTGATATAGCGTATGAATGTCTTGTACTGCAAGGCCAATTTATAAAAATATATCCATAACAGTATCCAAAAAATATCAGAATACAGGGGCTCCCAGAACTGCGCAAATTGGTGAAAAAAAAAATCTAATTTTGATTTTTCTGATAAAAATGTGATTGAAAAAAAAAATCTAGCTTTGGTGTGAGTGTTTTTAGGGCTGCCAAAATTGTGTGATTTTACATCAATATGGCTATAAAATAATGCTAATAATAATTATTGTTACTTAAAAAAAAAAAATATATATATATATATATATATTTATATATATATTTTCAAAAAAACACAAAAACCACAAGTTTCGCTATAAATTATTACATTATTTTTCTTAATCTGTTTTTTTTAAGTTAATAAAACTTAAATTATAAAACTAATCTATATTTTTTTATTTCTTAATGTCTTCATTTTCAAAATAAGTTTTTATTTTTAAAATGAACAACCACATGCAAAACTCCAAAGCTTGCTGTAGTGCTCTTAGTGGTGATAAGGACATGACTTTCCCCTTCTATAAACATGCTCTGTTTCTGCTTTTGCCAAATTGCAGATGTGACTCAGCCTCACATAAGATATTTAACTATCTCATACTGCTTAGTTTCACTTTTAAACAGTTTCTCTGAAAGAAATTTTTAGGTCCTTTCCACTTGTTGCAATATCAACTTAATATCAAATCAGCATTCTTGTTTCTTCTGCAGCCAGTCTGGAGGGCATTCGAATGAACTGGGAGGAACAAACATCACTAACGCTGAGCCCGAGCACCTCTCTCAGCTCCATCATCCGCACACCCAAATGCTACCACATCTCCTCTGTCAATGAGAATGCTGCAAAGCGTCTGTGTCGCCGCTACTCCCAGAAACTCATCCAGCACACCAGCTGCCAGCTGCTCCGCACGTACCCTGCAGCCACACGCATCGACTCCGCCAACCCCAATCCTCTCATCTTCTGGCTGCACGGAATCCAGCTGGTCGCCCTCAACTATCAGACCGACGGTAAAGAGCGTGATCACCTGCTCAGGACAGAAATTAAACCAGTGTAAATGACTGATATATTGACCATGCTGATCAGTCAGGCCATTTTTATAGTGTGTTTTCCTGAAGTTGTCAGACTAGTGGAACAGAAAGCATCCAAAATACACTTTTAAGGGTTTATTTTATTGGACTTTATCTACATTAGTCAACATTTGAAGTCAATCAAAAAAGTTAATCAAAGATGTCCTAAGACAAAAACGGATATTGTTTTGGTATTAGGACAACTTTGATGAGAGGTTTTGATCCACTACTGTATTTGCGTCATTTCCGCTGCATTTTTTAAAGGCTTTTCTCAAAATGATTGCACTGTGCCAGAAATCTCCACTTCAGCAGCATTTACGTACCTATCTATATTTTGAAGATTTTCACAGAGGGGTTTGTTCATATCATTTGACTGACTTATATCACATAGTGATTTTTCCCCCTTGGGGCTGTTAACCATATTTCTAATTTATGGTGTAATAAACAGAGATACCTGAAATCTCCTTTGTAAAAACCTTTGACTGATATGTCACCAAAATGAAACAAGAATTTTGCACCGGACTTTAAATTTGTGCATATTTAATTAGATAATGCCTCATTTTCACGTTTAAACAACATTTAAGAAAACTTGTTATACACATTTTTTATTTTTTTTATTTTTTGCAATTCTTAATTAATCAGCTGGGGAAGTATGGTGATATCTGTTACATTTTTACCTCATTCACCTGGAATGTCTTGCCTTAAGAGATCGTTCATTAAATGTACTGTTTTATTTAAGTTAAACCAATAAATGATACATCAATTATTAAATATAACCATTTGTTTTGTAGTATTCCAGGAAAACAGCATTTTATTTTAAATAATATTTTACATTTATTTCATATACCATTTCACTAGATAATACGCATGTATTTTTGTGTGGAGTGTATTTTTTATTTACTACCTTTAAACTGAAATCTGTAATCCCATGTAAGTCAACTATATATACATATATTCAAATGTGATGATGAGCATTATTCTTACAGGATTATTTGTGACCCTGGACCACAAAACCAGTCTTAAAGGAACACTCCACTATTTTTGAAAATAGGCTCATTTTCCAACTCCCCTAGAGTTAAACAGTTGAGTTTTACCGTTTTCAAATCCATTCAGCCGATCTCCGGGTCTGGCGGTAGCACTTTTAGCTGTAGCTTAGCATAGATCATTGAATCTGATTAGACCGTTAGCATCTCGCTCAAAAATGACCAAAGAGTTTCTATATTTTTCCTATTTAAAACTAGACTCTTCTGTAGTTACATCGTGTACTAAGACCGACGGAAAATGAAAAGTTGCAATTTTCTTGGCTGATATGGCTAGGAACTATACTCTCAAATTGCAACTTTTCATTTTCCGACAACTTTAAAGGCGATTTTCTCAATATTTAGATTTTTTTTGCACCCTCAGAGTCCAGATTTTCAAATAGTTGTATCTAGGCCAAATATGGTCATATGCCTAACAATCCATGCATCAATGGAAAACTTATTTATTCAGTTTTCAGATGGTGTATAAATCTCAATTTTGAAAAATTGACACTTAAGACTGGTTTTGTG